ATGGGAGATGCTCAGGAAATCAGGATTTACACACAGAACACAGCTGCAACTCACATGAAAGGAAAAAGGATTGGCAGGACGTTGTTTCTGCTGCACATTTAAAAATCTCAACAACCACAAAATGTAAAAATACTCAGGAACACTGACTTGGTACAACCACACTCCTGCTGTTCAGGAACACCCACAAATGGGGAAGATAACCTCCAGCCACCTCTCTTCTGCAATCCCACTTCCAATGAAGTGCAGGAATGTATGGAATACAGTAAAAATGTGAGGTCTCAGGGATTTTAAACTTCCAAATGAGCTGTGATCCCCCAGCAAAGCTGTACTTATCTCTAAGCCCAGCCTCAGAATCCCTGCTGCTCCATCAGCTCAGCACAGATTTGCAGGCAGGGAGCAGACAGACAGCAAGACAAAAATCAGCCACACATCCTGCAGGCAAAGCAATGACCCAAATCCATCAGGAAAATCATGAGGAGGAACATTCACCCCTTGGCTTTATCTTATTAAAATCAAAATGATGATATTTGGAGGGACTTCCCTGAGCCAGCAGTGCTCCTGTACCTGGATAATGCTGGGGTGAGGCCCTGGGAATGTTAAATGTGGGAAGAAATGGGACAAATTCTGCTTGGGAGGCACCTTGATCTCCAGCTCCCCCTGGCAAAGGCACAGAACACACCCAGCAGCTCCACAACTGGTTTGGCTGGTGATCCTTTGGCAGCTGGACAAATTGCTGTTGGTTTTTCTTTTAAAGGAAAAATTCTCCCAGAGGTGAAATGCAGCTGAAATAAGGCATGGGAAATGAAAAGCAAGCAGGAAAAAGCTTTGGGAAGTGGTTAAGGGCCAACAAAAGTGAGACTGTGCAGAAGGAGTGACTGCACTCAGCTGGGAGCTTGCAGCACTAGAAAGGGATTTCAGTGATCCTGCAGAGAGTAAATTGATCTATTTTTGAATATTTAATAAAAGAAAACCACTTTAACACTGTCATGGTTAAAGTATCAGAGAAAGGATCCCCACCCTCAGGATTTTATTATTCCTTTTATTATTTATTTCCTTGCCAGTTTTACCTTCTCAAGCCACTGGAACTGTTGATCCTCAGCCACATAGCAACTACACTGGCACAATAAAACCTAAAAAAAGGGAAAAACTTGTGTGAGCAAGTGGTTTAAAGGGCACAACAGCAGCTGAGCATCACCTGTAAGATGTGGCTGTAGACAATAACTTGTTCAGTTATTTTGGGTTTTGTTTCAATGAGGATTTTTTGCTCACAAATGCAGTGAAGCCACGAGGCTGTGACATCTTTGTGCTGAACTTCACACAGTTTTAGTTTTAACCTTTCGTGAGATTAACCCTTTATGAGTTTTAACCCTTTATGAGATTAACCCATGATCCTGCAGTCTTGTTTGGGGGTGGATGAAGTTTCTCCTTTTCAGAAAGTCAAACCACAGAGGAATTAATGCTCAAGTCACTCACTGTGGGGTCTGCTATCAATCTGTAGAACAAACAGAAAGAGTCTGTGGGGAGGACATTTGTGCTGCTGGATGTTCTGCACCACTCATTCCACAGCTTCACAACTCCAATCACTTCCCAGCACACAGAATCCAGGATAAAAGATGACAGGAAAGCTGCAAAACCCATAAAAAATACTGTTAATTTATAAAGAATAAAACCTCTGTTTTACAAATAAATAGCTGGACTAAATTAGATTATTCCTTTGCAATCTGAAGGAAGAATAACTCATTTTTATCAACTTATTGACCAAATCTAAGAAACATCAGCAATGTGATAACCCTGCTGTACTCAAATTTAAAAAGATGAAGAGATGTTCAATATATACAGATCCCTAACACAAAAATCACTTGTTCTTAGGAATTATAGCATTATAATCAACTTCAAATTGTTTCGTATTAATTAAGGATGTGAAATATTGTCTCTAATACTTTCTGACATAGCAGATTAAAACCAAAACTCACTAAAGCAGCAAGGCAGAACTATTACACTGATTCTAGAAAAAACAAGAGGCTAGAGTGTGGCAAAAATGTTCATAAATCAGATTCCTGTCAAAAGCTACAGAAGACAGATCCAAAATATCTATTACCATTTTTCAAGGAAAAACTTGAACAAAACCCAAACAAATTAGTAAATTTAACTTTGCTAAAATCTAAATGTCATCTAAATGTCACTTTAATGCAAGCAAGACTTGTGGGTACTATCAGATCAAAACTTTTGCCAATTAATAAACAATCCCAGAGAGTTTACCAAACAAAAACCAGATAAAGGAAAAGAGGGATTGTCCTAACTAAAATCCCAAACTAAAACATACTTCATTTTTCCTGTTCAACTGAAAGTACATCACTTTCCAAGAGGAGCAAACAGCTGTAACAATAACTGGGTTTTACATGCACAGAGGAACTTCAGCTTTCTCTGGGACAACTCAGCTGCCTCCAGGCTTAACCTCTGCTGCTAAAGGAGGAGCTGCACATTCAGTAAATACGGGGGTTAAGCGAAAGCTGGAGAGGGATTTTTCAAAAGGTAATGGGATCACAGGACAAGGGTGAATGAGTTGAACTCAAGGAGGGCAGGGTTGGATGAGATTTTGGGGAGGGAATTGTTCCCTGGGAGGGTGGGGATGCCCAGAGCAGCTGTGGCTGCTCCTGGATCCTTGGAAATGCCCAAGGCCAGGTTGGACACTGGGGCTTGGGAATGTCTGGGCACATTTACAATCCCAGTTGGGGCTTGGAGCAGGGAATGTCCTGGCACATTTCCACCTCCCTGCCACCTCCTGCCTCCCCAGTTTATCCCCCAAACCCAGCAGCTGTGGTTCTGCACGCACCCGCAGCGTTCCTGCCGATGGCCACGATAAACCTGGAGCACACCAAGGACTCCTCGGCGCAGCTCCACAGCACTTGGATCTCCCTGGGAAAACAACACAGAACAGCGCGGGCTGGGAGGGACCCACAAGGACCATCCAAACCCAGCTCTTGGTCCTGTACAGATCCCCAACAACCCCATCATGGGCATCCCTGGAGCTCCGGCAGCCCCGGGGCCGTGCCCATTGCCTGGGGAGCCTGGGCAGTGCCAGCACCCTCTGAGGGAAGAACCTTCGCCGATCTCCCCGCGCTGTCGGTACCTTTTCTTCTCGATCTCCCTGCGGATCTCGCGGTCCTCGGGCGTCTCCTCCCGCGCCTCCTCCTCCTCGTCCAGGCCGGCCCGGGACGGGGCCACCACCACCTCCCCGAAGAAGGTCGCCATGGCCGCCGCCCGCGCCTGCGCGGCCCCGCCCTCAGCGCCGGAGCAGGCGCGGGAGGCGCCGGGGGCTCTGAGGGGAGAGGCGGCGGCAGCGCCTCTTATAGTGGAGAAAATTGTCCGAATATCCCATCGAAACCTCCCCAGGCTTGACCAACAGTTTAACACTGTCAGAAGTTAAATCGTCTGATAATTAACGACAAACTTGCAGAGACTGGGTGTTTGAGTGAATTTGCAGACAGTGCCACATTCCCACGTGTGCTGGTGTAGCCATATTTTGTGAAAAATCCTTTCCTTGGGATTTTTTCTCCTGAGAAGCTGGGAGGCCTGAAGAACAAAATGTAAACAATGATTATCTGCTGCTGTGGAATGCAACAGGTGCATATGGGATTGGTCTCATGTGGTTGTTTCTAATTAATGGCCAATCACAGTCAGCTGGCTCAGAGAGTCCGAGACACAAGCCTTTGTTATCATTCCTTCCTTTTCTATTCTTAGTCGGCCTTCTGATGAAATCCTTTCTTCTATTTTTTTTTAGTATAGTTTATATATAATAGATATAATAAAATAATAAATCAGCCTTCTGAAAGATGGAGTCAGATCCTCATCTCTTCCCTCATCTTAAGACCCCTGTGAACACCATCACAGGATGTGACCCTGAGAGGGGAGAGCTCCTGCCTGGGCTAAAGCTGGAATGGGACAATGAACTGCAAGGTGCAAATGGAGCAGAACTGATCCCAGGGACAGACCCCGTGCCCGGCCGTGCATTTTGGGGCCATTTTGGTTCATCTTGGGTGCAGCCCTGGCTGGGCTCTGGTGCTGCTCAAGGTGTATCCATGGAGGAGATGCTTTGAATAAATCCCTGCTTTATTCTTTAGCTCTGTCCAGCCTCTGCTCTGGGGCAGCCTGCACAAGGCATCACCAGAACTGGGCCCAGCCCTGGAGGGGCCTCTCAGAGCCAGCACAGAGGGACAATCCCTGCCCTGCTCCTGCTGCACACACAATTCCCCATCCAGCCCAGCTGCCAGGGGCCTCTTGCCCCCCTGGGCACCCCTGGGCTCATGTCCAGCCCCTGTCACAGCACCCCAGGGCCTTTCCAGCTCTCCAGCCCCACAGGGTTGCTGTCCCTTGGCCTGGCTGAACCAAATAAGAGCACACCGAAATCCTGTTGGAATCCTGGATGCTGAGAATTTTAAACTTTCTGTGCTGAAAGGCACAGACTCACAAGAGAACACTGCATTTGACCTGAGGCTGTGGAGAAGACTTCCAAAATTGATTAATAGCACCGGGATTACGAGTATGTAGTTGGTTAGAAGTGTGTGATATCACAGGGTGGAAAACTTAAAGTTTGGGGTTTTAGAATATAGTAATAAATATGAAGCAAGATGGGAGATTTTAGGGCTGAGGCAGGTTGTTCTTCTTCACCTCCTTCTTCTTTATTCATGGGTTTGGGTGGCATTTTGTAATTGGACAGAAAAGTCTGCATTGAGGGCTTTGAGGGATGTTATTGGGTTAAAAGGGAAAACAATCTAAGTGTCTTTTCTTAATTGGACAGTTTAGCCTTAAAAGACCCTGTAACAAGAGAGTGTTGGCCATTTTGTGCCTTGTACTGAAAAACTGCTGAACTCATGGTTGTGAGGTTGTTACACTGATAAGAAATAATAAATGCTTGAGTCCAAACATGAAATACCATCTCAAGTGCCTTCAATCCCAACCCTGACAGAAGCAGAAAACACAAAGAGAGAATCCACACATCCCAGGTGTATGTACAGCTTTACTTTGGTCACTAACACATGTACATCATCAAAGCCTGGAACATGAAAGAATTTGATTCCTTTACGATTCTGCCCTGCACTTTAATGCTTCCCTCTGTTCATGCTGCCTGATCACCATCACACACTCAGGTCCTGCTCTAAAACAAACCAAAACACCCCCCAAAAGTCACATTAAATAAAGATCCTACTTTTAAAGGTCTACTACTTTACTTCCCTGAGTACAGCTAGACAAAACCAAAACCGCTCACTTAAAGGAAGGTGAAAGGACTGCATAAGAGCCACCATGCTCCTTTAATAAATTAAAAATAAACTCTTAAAGGGTGAAAGACTCAAAATACCTTTCCAGTTGAATAATTTCTCTTCCCACTATGTGTATAAAATTAGGAAATACAGACCAGCACATGCTTTGCCTAGAAAATGAAGTGCCAGGGTCGCTAAGGCAGTGACTCCTGTGGGATCTGCAGCCCCAATGCCAGAAGCTTCTCCAGCTTTCAGGGACAGGAGCCTGTGTGTGCAGTGACAGAACACAGCCCTGAAAGAAAACCAGCTTTGTAAAGCTAAGCCTAGATTAGAAATACAAACCCACCAGCCAAATTCTAGCTGTTCAAACTGAAAATTAATAAAAAATCTTATCTTTAATTCAATTATTCCCAAATTGGAGGTTGTACTCCAGAGAACACTGAGAATAAGCAGCTGCTAAACAATCAAGTTTATGTAAAATATAAAAAAATAGTGGACTTACTATAACAAAGTTTGCTCCTCAAAGAAAACACAAAGCCACCTTCAAGTTTTCTCACTAAACAGAACTGTGTTTGTATTTCAGAAACCAAATAAAGAATCCAGATAAACATTTATCTTGAATTTACAGAATTCTGCTGCATCCTATTCAAGACTACGCTCTAAATAAAACTTCCTGGGGCAAGAACAATTTAAATTATTTTTGAACTTCACATGAAAGTGTTAAGGAAGAAAAAAAGAATATTTCTCTGTGCTGAGATAACATCTGGCATAGCAGAAGTGATGGTAAATGCAAACAATGTCAGTGAGGGTGTTGGAGAAGTGGCTCTCACTGCTGGAAGCCCCATTTTCCATGATGATTTCCATTTGTAAAAATTGTCATTATTCACCAGCATTGTGCAGCTGCGCTGATTTTTTTACCCCCAAACCCTTCTGGATCCCACTACCAGTCCAACCTGCTGGAAAACCAAATCCCAAACTTGCTGTTTCAGTTCACATGAGCTAGGTTAGGGTAAATCTGATGCTCTGCCACATTTTCTACTGAATGACAGAATGACCAAGTCTTTCATTTTCATTTTTCAAGAATGACCAAGTGTGAGAAAGGGAAGCTGCAGGAACCCTGGAGTGGGGAAGGAGCAGAGATTCCCTGGTTTTGGGCTGGGGGCAGCCATTGTGGGGCTCCCACCAGCACAATTCCAGGGAAAACTAAAAATTCAAAGCTGCTGTGTGGTTTTGTTGTTGCCATGTGTTCAACCAGAGACTTCCACGTATTTTCCTGGAGAAATTTTCCTTCTTGTCAACAAGAGCCACCTCAAACATTGTGAAAACAGGAGATATACTGCAAAGCTCAGAAAGTGGTAAGGTTTAATCAATGGGAAATCCAACATTCAAACACTTTAAATATGGAGGAACAACAGAAACGTAGCAAAAAAAGGTCTGGAATGTCGGAATCCTGCACCTCAAGCTTTTCACGCATAAAGAAAACAGAACAAGTGTTTTGTTTGTTTTTCTATTTTATAAAGAAAACACACAAAAACCCTTTTAGGCCCAAGAGTTCACCTGCATTTCATAATCTTAAAAGTTTACAGTATAGAAGTCACATTAATGATGTACTACCTGTCAGCAGAACCAAAGCCTCTGGAAGTGGCAAATAAACTTCTCCACTGGTAACTGCTTGTACAGAGCACTGAACAGCTGCACCGAACCCAGCTGTGAAGTTTTCAGCCTTTTCATTCCTCTTTGGAAGCAATCTTTGCATCCACCAGGTTTTTAGAGTGTGTACTATTATTTAGAAGCCTGTTACTATTGTAGACGATTTCATACAGCATTAGAGATGTTTGAAATCTGTTCTTGAATGTTGCATGACCTAGGTAGTATCTCATTGCAGCACCCATAACAATAATACTCAACATACTGCTATTAACCTGTTTGCAGTGTTTTAACATTTTTTTAACTCTTGTTTATATGTAATAAAATACCAGTAAAGACAAAAAAATTGCCCCTATAATGAGGCACATTTTGGCATCTGTGCTAAATGCTGCTACATGGGCAGGCAAGTGCAAGTCAAAATATGAAAAAGGAGAAAGTCATCATCTAATCACATTCATAACTTTTTCATAGAAAAATATAAATATATTCCCTGAAATGTAGGACAAAGAAAAGCCAGCACCCATCACGAGTTCTAGTGCTATTACCATTAAAAAAAAAAAGAAAAAAAACAGAAAAAAAAAACAAACAACCAAACAAACAAAGAGATGGGCTGGCTATCCTTTAGTTAAGGTTACGTTTCACAGGCGGCCTCCTCGAGGGCTCTGTCGTCGTCGTCGTCGTGGTAGCGCACG